GGTAGTTGTGACTTTGTCCGATAAACCCCGTGACGAGGTACACGCCGTCAGTATGCGTTGGACGCAGCGCCGTCTCGACCATGAAGAAGCCCGCGATTGGCTGGGACCCTTTTGGGGGCAGCACGTGGGGAAGTAGTCGTACCCGATCAGGAGCTGCAGCGACGCCCACCCGATCTCTGGCGTCGCGCCCATCCAGCACGTCGACACCGAGTACGTGGCACCCGCAGGTATCGCTAAACGCGCAGCGACGTTGGCGCCAATCGCATTCCATGCGACAGCGTTGGTCGTCGTGTTGACCTCGATGGCGCTGCACGAGTGCGGGACCCAGCCAGCATGATCGAGCTTGCACGAAGCGCCGTGGCTGTTCCAGTACGCGGCTTTGCCCTGGTCGTGGTACTGGACGTCTTCGCGCTGAAACGTGCCTTGGGCCACCACGACTGCGAGCGCTGCGAGCGAGAGCGCGACGAGAACGGCGGCCACGAGGTTCGAGAGGATGCGGTACCAGATCTGAGAGACGGGCGTGCGGTTGCCGTGCCCATCGCCGCGCGGGCTCTTGTCGGTCAAGACAAACTTGGAGAGCCCCGACGAGAAGAAGGTGCGAAACCACATCGGTGCCGGCGCCTGTCTTGTCGACTGATCCTATCTATAGCCGCGTCCAACTGAAGTGTTTTTGTTGAAAGATGCGCTAGGCGAGTAGAACCTACCAAGGATTATAAATATCGATGCCCTCGCACGTACTACAGTATTTCTTTAGTGTTGTATAGTTTTCACAATGGCGAGCTTGCTCAGGGGGCAAAGGGCGTAATGCCTTCATTACTGCCATGACCTCGGGTGAGGTGAGGCGGGTTGCTTAGTAGGCGTCGAAATCTAGAATGCTAGCTCTACGACAGCCTCGCAAGATACGCCGCTTCGTGAAAAGATCGTTTCGACTTGCTGCGCGCGCAAAACACCCATTTCCACGTTGGTGGATTTGACATCGTTGGGTTAGGACATACCAACAGGATGGATTCGCAGCAGCATTCTGGTGCAGGCTCTTTCCGCGTTGTCAAGTACGAGCCGTTGTTGGTCGATCAAAAGGCAAGGAATGTTTCCAACCCTCTGGATGTCAACATACGTGGCGCTCGCACGTACTGGTATCGACGTCGTAGCACGATACCCTCGCCCATAGGATATACGAGCTATGAGCTAGTATGCTTGCGGCCAAGGATGAGAAACGCGTAACCAAGAGGTAGCAATTCGTGCATGTCATTCGCTTGGCCCATCAAGGTGACGTGGCCGTCCACACAGCGGCCATCTCTCGTGATTCCTAAATTCACGTGTCAACCAATCACATGGCGGTATTTAATTTTGGCCAATCAAACGCGACCAAGACCGCCAGTCACGATCATGCGGCCAACCAACGTCCTCGCTCGCGCGGCCGTCGACGTCTGGAAGGCGACGCTATCGCCCCAGCGTGTCGCTGCGTGGCAGGCGCAAGACGCATCGCTCCACCGCTTCCTCCGCGCTGCCATTCCCGAGGCCCTCGAGCACACGGGCGGTGCGCACCCCGAGGTTGGACAGGCGGGCGCTCAATACGAGTACTCTTGTAGAGGCCGCGTTTGACGAGCACCTCGTGGGCGTGCAATCCGTGCTGCGCGTTTTTTGGAGCGGACGACGATGTATGCAAAGCCGGTCTCTTCCACTCGATCTACGGCACCGAGGGCTTCCAGGGCTACAAGCTCCCGATGGCCAAGCGGCCAGAGATCCGCCAGCTCATCGGTCGTCGCGCTGAACGCCTCGTGTGGATGTTTTGTGTCCTTGATCGCG